ATTGGTGTAGGAAATGGAGACAGCCCTCGGATACGATGAGATCGCAGCCAGCAGGATGGATGGAGCGAGGCAGAATGATAGAAGGATGCGCATGACAGAGGAAGAACTGCTGGGAGGAAGACACCACACTCTGGATTTGGCTGAGATGCTTGAGGAAGATGAAGATAGTGAGTGACTTTGCTTGTGTATGTGTGTGTGTATGTGTTCGTGCATGTGTGCTTGCGTGCATGCGTGCGTGTGCCCATGAGTGTGTGTGTGCGTTCGTGCATGTGTGTGTGTGTGTGTGTGTGTGTGTGTGTGCGTGCGTGCATGCATGTGTGCGTGTGTTTGTGTGCAAAATTATGTGAGTGATTAAGTCAGTGAGTGAGTGAATGTGTGCGGGTGCGTGCATGCATGCGCATGTATGTGTGTGTGTGTGTGTGTGTGGGTGTGTGAGTGTGTATGTGTGTGTGTGTGTGTGTGTGTGTGTGTGTGTGTGTGTGTGTGTGTGAATACGTTCATGTGTACATTCATGTGTACGTGGTAAAACACCAAACCAATTATCCAGGAATTGGACAATAAAGACATCTTATCTTATCTTATCTCATCTTATCTTATTTTATCTTATCTTATACAAATAATGTACTTGATATAAATTCCCCGTTCTCGGGAATCATCTGATACTGTGATAATTTATAATGTACTCTATATGCACGCGGGGAAATAGGCTAAGAGCGCCTGTATGACTATAGGGCTATTCCACGGTAACTTAAGGAACGTATGGACTATACTTTCTAACCGTGATAACACTGTAATTTCTACATATATCAATAACTTTATTTCAACTTTAAATGATCGGAACATTTGAAAGTCATATAAAGAATCATATTAAATGAAGTCTGTTCTACAAATAGGCCACCTATTTGTGGGGGAAAAGTGGTAGGCTCAGACAGGTGGTCGTCTTGAGCAGTGTCTTCATAGTAGGCTATCGAAAAACACAAGGAGGGGAGTAGGAAGTGGTCGTTTATACAGGCGGTTGTCTTGGGAATGTGGCCATAGAGAGCACACTCGTCTGCTCAATTAGAAAAAAAAACCCCAACCAAAACCAAACAATAAAAACAAAACAACAACAACAACAACAACAACAACAACAGACTTCCCTTCATATATCGGAATTCTGTGTCTATACAGCTGTGTGGTGTCGAGACAAAATCGAAACACAACAGACAGAAACTTGTGGCCACACTGTCTAAATAACGCGTGAATCTTGTACAACACTACAAAAGCCTTCATTGCCATCATGGTGCTTCCCATCAACCCGGTCAGAGTAGCCTAGTTCATGAACTGGAACCACTTCTCTTTATTAGAGTCGTAGTACTATTATAATAATGTGGGGGCAGCACGTAACAGGCTTTGTACGAGTCTCCCGGGAATAGGTTATTATCACACGCAGAGGCTGAGCGAGGTCTTTGGGGAATCCATGGGTGTGAGTCTAAAGAGTTCAAAGGTGTAAGAGCACTTTGGTTTGCGAAGGTAAGGTCAGTGAAAGTAAAATATACCCCCCTCCCCCCTCTTTCTCCGTTTCAGCCATCTAATTTTTTTGAACTGCATGACCTAATATGTAACTCTTGATGTCATCGTTGGGGGTTACAATGGGGTCACAGTGTCACAGTTATACTCAAAACGTGTCAGGCGTGTTGATTTAGTTTAGTTTTTGTACAATTTTTACAGCATTTGAAATACAAATAGATCATATAGGCCCTAAGTGCCGGAGATTTGAAGTGTTACTGGAAAGTTACATATAAAGAAACTAAGGAGGAGAGCTTATATGGATGATTGGTGTTCGATAGGAGAGAGTGAGCAAACAATACTAGATCATCCACAAACCTCCCACAGTCGTGCTGGTGATCGTCGTGAAGGGCAAAGACGTGAGTGTGTGTGTGTGTGTGTGTGTGTGTGTGTGTGTGTGTTTGTGTGTGTGTGTGTGTGTGTTTGTGTGTGTGTATGTGTGTGTGTGTGTGTGTGTGTCTGTCTGTCTGTCAATATATATATATATATATATATATATATATATATATATATATATATATATATATATATATATATAAATATATATGTGTGTGTGTGTGTGTGTGTGTGTGTATGTGTGTGTGTGTGTGTGTGTGTGTGTGTGTGTGTGTGTGTGTGTGTGTGTGTGTGAGTGGTGGAAGGGGTATATATAACTTACCATTACCTTCTCGGCCCGCTTTCTTCAGACAGCTTGGCAAGCGATTTTTTCGGATCTGGACAGGCCCTTACGTCGCGACGTCACAGTCTCCGAGCTGATCGATCGTGAGCAGCTGCCTCACAGGTGTCCTGATCGATACTCTACTCCCAACCCTCACGCCTCTCTCGCAGGCTGGGTGCGCCGGTGTATTATCATGTTTATATAGCTCAATTGGTAGCATGCTGGGGTATGGTGAGGATGGCCCTGGTTCGAAACCACAAAGGGGTGTTCTTCAACGTTTGTTGTTTAAGCGTTTTCAAAGCTCTTTGACCACATTTCTCGTTTGTTTTGTTTTGTTTTTGTTTTGTTTGTTGTTATTTTTTCGCTTTATTTTTGTCGAGACTGGCGCTTAGTTTAGTAACAGGGCTCCTTTATTAATCTTTCTCCAACTGAAGGTGTGTTGAAACTTGAAACCCGTTCATTCATCTACAAACCTTATGTTATGATGTATTATGTATTCCTTATTTATGTATTGACTCATGCTGCCAAGAGCAAAATGCTCGCAGTAAAGGAATTTGAAAACAACATCATCATCAACAACAACATCAACAACAGCAACAACAACATGTATTCACTTTTTCCCTTATTAATTAATTAATTTAAACATTCTTCCCCCCCCCCCCCTTAAGTGTACGTGAGTCATGACTGCTGTCTGACGTGGAATATTAGCACTCTGTCAGTTTTCAATAGAGCCATAGAGAAGGTCTTTTGGTGTCCGTCTCTTCACTTGTTGAAACGATACGCCAGAACTCATGCATATTCATGTATGTGTCACGCTTCATGGGGATGTTGTCCATCTGAACTCGTCGATTAACTATTCAAAGATACCTTACTTACCAAGTTTTCCAAGCATGAAATGGATTATTGGACTGAAAATTATCTTTTTTTTTAATCAGCCTTGGGGCTAGGCGAGATGATGGGGTATTAGTATAGTATTTTAGTCCAGTAGTGCAGTGTTTGGTTCTCAGTGTAGGTGACAATGGGTTGGAACCTATACCACGGAGGCATCCTCACACTTGTACTATTGGATAAATGTTTTGTTAGGTTCTCTAGCCCACCTTTTCGGAACCAGTTGTTGAATTTGGATCTCTGAACATAAATAGCATTATCTATACACAGTTATGAATCAAATTACAGCTGGTGTGAAACATCACTGCCCGTGGTGTAAGGTTAAGGCTCTTTGCCATTACACCAAGTAGACGTGTATTCGATGTCTGTGTAAGGAGGACAATTTATTGAGTATCTCTCCCTTTTAAACAAAGATGCTGTATTATACATGTATTCGTTTTAGCTAAGGTTGGCCCAGGCAAGTCAATGGACAGGGTCTAAACAGCCCGCCTCTTAAATCATCAAAATCTTGACGTTACTTAATTACTTTACTTCATTTTTCCCCATCCTCTGTTGCTACTAAGCGTCCAGGGGAGATGCAATTTTCTATAAAAGACTTGTCGATGTAGGTGTCACATGGATTCATCGGGGTGAAATCAGGCGCGGGTGAAAATAACGAAATTGAAGTATTCGAAGTAGCTGTCACTTTTCCTCCTGTTTGGTAATTTTTATCGAATTTTTGTTTTTTGGCTCAACACCTTTTATGTCCATATAAAAAGATATTTCTGTATGGAAATCACAGAAAAACGTTGATTAAAGGTACAAAAAAGTAAATTTTAAGTTTCCAAGGACTTTCGAGATATGGAAGTGACCGAACTTTGGCGGCCGTTTTCTTGCTAATTTTCACCCGGAAACCAGCCCACCCCACCTCCTGCAAGTGCAACTATCTCAACTTCTCTTCAAGTTTATTTCTACGTAGCAAATGGTTGGAGAACGTAAATTAGATATACCAAGTGAGAGTGATCTATTTTAACTATAACTCTTATGGACGTAAGGGACCATTCACAAATGATGTCAACTAAAATTTTTGCCTAAAATGACCCCC